GCCACACCCAGAACACATGTGCATTTATCACCTGTGCATATACTACGTCACTACTTTCCTGAATGAAAGTCGAATGCGTGGCGCATCCCTTCGACATGGTCAGTTATATAAAAACACTGACTTATACATCGGCTGGCCAAAGGAATTCCCCGTGTATGTAGAACACATGTGCATTTACTACGTTACTACGGTCCTGAATGAAAGTCGAATGCGTGGCGCATCCCTTCGACATGGTCAATTGACGTAACAAGTCTTTATCCTTTATCCTTTGATGAACTAACGCTGTACAGTGGTCAAAAATCGAGGTTGCCAAACAAATATATCTTTGCAACTTGTTGATAATATTGCTGAGTTGTGATTTTTATCCAGCCTCTTGAATGAGTGTTTCGATGACTCGAGAATTTTTCTATGTGATTAGGTATCTATGTCATTCATTTTTTCATTAAGCCTTCATAGGGAAAAGTATAGGATCACAATGAGTATATGCCTTTTTCGGCATCTGGTAAAAAAGCTATATGATTCCTCTACGTGAATGAGCTGGCAGAGCTTGCTTCAGAAAATAAAGCATGAGCTATTCAAGGTTATGGCAACATCGTACCAGCCACGTCCTCCGGTCGAATCGCTTGTGTGGTCTTCGCTTTGTTTGGAGCTCCTTTGGCTATCATCACTATTGGAGGTCTTAACCAAAACCTTAGTGGGGATCCAACGAAAACGACATAAATATTTCAATCCAGATTTGGGTAAATTCCTGTCCGAATGCACCATATGGCTGTACAAGGAGATGAAAAAAGTACGAACTCTCCTTTATGGACGATGGAGACGGTTCCGCGGGCTTAACAAGGGTGAGATACGCTTTACAGCTCAATTCCCAACTACAAAACTACTTCCTTCTCGTAAAATTATTACTCAGTAATGTAAGCATTTTCATCATAATTTCATTTGCCGAAATTAAGACTTATTTGGGAGAAGTTCTTTCTCTAATATCGATTTTATCTGTTCTAATTGATTATCTGTTCAGAGCATGAAGATGCCGAATCACAACTATCGAGTTCAAGATCATTAGACTGGGAGGACTTGGTCTTGGACAAAACTGAAGTGCCTGTCATCATGGTGTTCACTATATTACTGGTAACAAAATACTTTTTCCAGATGATATTTATCCATTTCTGCACTTTCGTTGACATTAGCCACAGCACTTGCCGAAATCAACCTTTTCTTACCAAACAATCGAGTTTGGTCCTGTGCATGAGGAATCCAGGGTTCGGTTTGCCCAAACTCCTTGAATCCCACAATTGGTATGCGAATATGTTGTGCATAGAGTTCATCACAAGAAAAAAACGCTCTGCTTGCACAGATAAAACCCATGGACAGTGCAGCTTACAGGCTTGGCTCTTTACCACTGTAGCAACTACTGCCATGAACTTAGCAACTGACGTGCGTAACCGCTCACTATTTTGGTTGAGTCGAAAGTACCTTTGCATGAAGTGCAGTAACCAGTTCTATCCCTTGACCTCGTATAGGGTTGCTCAAGTTTTGCAGAAGTTGGAAAAGTTAGGCGAACCTGTGGGCGACAGACAAACCCTACAGTTCGTAAAGGTTTGGGGTTTTCTTTTCGTTACCCCGGAACCCATAGGACGTCTTTCGCTGCATGGTGTCACGCTAACAACTGCACATATGTACATATGTTGAATGCAGAACCTTGCTATAAGCTCTTACTTGCTGTAGAGTTTGTAGGCTCCCGAATCCCCTTAATCCGGATGCTGACTTCATGCAGTAGATCCTCTGCCTGTCAAAGGAATCAATCGGAGGTGCCTTTTGAAATTCCTGTCCCTGGCTTGAAGATACATAGAGGAGCGTGATTCAGTATACTATCGCCTCATAAATCGTGCCGATGCATGAAATCGAGGTGGCTTGCTGAATTGCCATTATATACATCATGCCCAGTGAGGCAAGGTAACCAGTTACCATCCCAAAACTCTACTTCTCCGGTCCCGGTACCGGTCCCACTTTCTACAAGAACAAAAAGTTCCTCTGAAGGGATGATCTTGACTATGTCGGTTGAACACCACAAAACATTGAATAGGTCATGCCACATTGACACTCAAAGAATTCCTGAATGGAAGTCAAATGTGTGGGAGCATACCAGAATGTCCTTTTATTCCATCGTAAACGACCACTATGCATCATTCGAGCACAACGTAAATTATTTGCAAATTCTCAACCATAAGCGATGTGAGCCAATTGTAATTTTTCCAGCTCTACATAGCATTCGGCGGAGTATTATTCTCGTTCCTTGAGGGATGGACGTACATGGATGCCTTTTATTACTGTGAGTTTATTTGCACTCAATGCCACAGAATCGTTCTTCCCGTCAGGTTTATGATAATTGAATCTGGCAAAGATCCAAGCCGTATTTTGCTAGCCACTCAACGAGTCCCTCTTGAATTAAAAGCTCGAGTCACAATTTGGGGGTAAAACGAGCATCCAAATATGCTCATAGGCCTTATTCTCGTATCTCACTTACCCATAACCCATTTCTTTTGATCGTGCTCAATTAACGATAATCGTAGCTCCACAAGGTTGGCGATTTGTGGTCAAAACTTCAATCGGACGAGACTCGAACCCGTTCTTGTTCTTCACGGACAACATGCTCTATTCCTTACACTACCGAGACCCCGAATGCCCTCACCTTCTTAATGGCTTAATGGCTTATGATAACCGTAGCGGTGTAGGAATGGTATCAATAAGCTGTGGTTGGATACTGAGGGAAGAAGTGTGCCCTTTGAGCTGTTGCCATATTTGTCAGATGTTGGTAATCCGCATCCTACCCCATACATCACAGCTCCGTCATACAGCCTACCTAGGTACTCACTTAAATCCCCAACTATCGGTCCTCTTCAAACACACATTTTCAAAGAATGGGACGTACGCCTCGGGAGACAAATACTATATTCTCTTTAGCATAGATACTCTGTAATCCCCTTTTTGATTTCATCCATAAGGGCAGTTTTTGCATATGGCAATTGTTGAGTGGTATCACTCATGAAAAATTTGCTAGTAGTCGTTCATTAACATTTACGGTTTCAGCATTCATCTCGCTCACCACCATAGGATTCGGTGATATTGTTCCTGAAAATCATGAGTGAGTGTTTTTTGACATTTCCTAATGGCCATTTTCGGATCATTGTGAGAATCTCAAGTGACTACATAAATTACTATTTATTTTTATTTTATTTATTTATTTTTGTTATTATTATTCATATTATTTGAATACACTCCACAATATGAATGGTTTGCAGGCGTTGATGTATCTGAGGATATTTAACGTTCTTTTAGCTATATCGTCCTTATGCTCGCATACCTCGGTATCGGCCTGGCGGTGACCACTATGTGTATCGACCTTGTTGGCATACAGTACATTCAGAAGATTCACTATTTCGGCAGAAAGGTTGGTTGAATATCAGAGACAGGGAAGATTCAATCAGTGGAGCTGACCAAATGCCAGAGAAAAGGCGAGCGAAAAAGTTCTTTTTTGCAGTGCTGAAAGGCAACGTTAACCTACGTTTATATGAGTGGTCTTAGTGATTTATGCTTATCTAAATCGACATTTTGACTTAGGCAACTTGCAATGATTTGCAATAGAGAAGCCTACCACTAATCTTGAAGACAGGGAGCTTCGCTATGATTACCTCTGTTATCAGAAAAGAGCGCATTATCTAAGTAATGGAAATACTTCAGTTCCGAGGCACCGATTTGCTGCATCTCCTGAAGCGAAAGCGAATGATCGAACGTCGTTTGGCTATGGGACAAGGCGAGGAGATTCTCCAGATGTATATTCAACAAATGCAGAATCAACTGTGAGTAGATATCTATTTCCTATTTCTGGCTCGTTGATCTGGTATTTAGAAAGCATCTCAAAGCTTCAGGCATAGTTTTAAGCTCGGATTTTCATGATTTCCGAGGGGTATTCACACTCAAATCAGGGCAAGTGGCTTTGGTTTTGAATGAAAATCGAAAATTTTTTCTTTGGTCAGGCAACACCTCGCAAAAAAGTAGCAGAGACAAATACAATTCAACCATGCAAGGAGTGGCTTTGTTAAAAGCTAATATGGCAAGCTTTCGCGGCTACCAGCGACCACAAGTAAAGCTCTTCCTCTCGAGGGGCGCGCGATTCACGCGTGACCAAATTAGAGCTCTACGCGCACGCAGCATCGTTTTAGTACCTTTCTGTTAAGATGGACCAAATAAGATTTGCAGCAGACTACTGCTTCACCATGAATTAGAGCAAATCTCTTTACTATGGCAATAAAGCCTCTTCGAGATTGAGAATTCACTTCATAGGTCAGCAATTTACTTGTCAAACGTTCGAAAAGAAATAACTTGAAAGTTTTGATCGTAGAAAACGCAATCCTTCTNCTTCCATTATGATGGTAGGCATGATGTTATAGCGCGTCTCGTCCGATGACCTCATTATATTGACGCATGAATCGCACCACATCCCTCCCTCTCGTGTAGCAGTCTTGAAGGGCCCAAAATGAATAACCATTCAAAATAAAGGGTGATAGAAATCGCTTTACTACTTTTGTGGTCCACTCCAGTGGCCGATTCAGCGACAAGGATTTGAGCACTCGTTGATGAGCCAATACAGATATGAGATTGATATTTCTGGTCCAACAGATTGAAACATAGGGTTGATAGGCTTATGTCAAGTGGCACGAATTGAATCAAAGTGGCTATGACAGATATGCGAAGTCCGACTGACTAGTAATCGCCGATTCGATTCACTATTTCAATGATTGGGTTAGAAGATTAGAGTTAGTAGTTATTAAGAGCTGGTCATCAAAGGGGACATTAGACCATAGCTTCACAGCTGCGCTTTCCTTCTGTCGATGAGTGAGACATTCCTGAAAGTTGGAATTACGCGAAGTCATTTGTGCAAAGCCTCCTTTGAACAAGTGTAAATATGAGATTCGAAATCGTGCCATACCTCGTTCCAGGCCTGACCCGGTGGTGGTCGAACAACAATGGGAAGAGGACAAGGCTTCCAGTCACATTGAGTGAGTTTTGTTAGCTGCACGCTCTGCCTTGGAGTTCATACTTCATTTGGGTGCTAGCAGAGGTTCTTCCTTTGTTGCGCCTTTCCATTTGGATAGAACAATTTGCAAAAAGAAGACTTTCAGGTGGCAAATCGACGACGCCTTGATAAGTAGCTATTATAGTTTTGATTTTCCGCTAGCAATCCGTGTGCCTTCACCGAATGTTCTTTCAATTAGGAGGTATGGTCGAATGCTTTTCAATTGTCTTTGTCCATTGGCTCACTTTACATTCTATTTCTTGTTCAATTGCATTACTACTTATCCTCCTTTATTTTGCTCATCCCATCCCTAGTAAGTGAATTGATTATTCGCAGACACTCGCTTATTAGAGGCTGTCTCGAATCACCTTTAAGAAATTTCTGAGTTTAAGAAGAGCGAGGGAGTGCCATAGAAAGTATAAGGCGCGAAGTTTTTCAATGGTGCAAGTGCAGGGAGGGATCCACAGTTTCCGATTCCGTCAACGAACAGAGACGGGTAAGCCTCATGGCAAAGATTCGGATGTCAGATCAGATGGGCCAAGGGCGTCATTAATTTTCTTATGACCGTTGGACAAGGGCGATTACCTACTCATGTCATGAGAATGGCTGCTTTCATAGTCCACGATTTGGCCAGCGACCGGTCGCTCGCCAAATCGTGGACTATGAAAGCACCCAATGGGTGCGTTATTGGAGTTTGTTCAAACAATTCATTGTTAGGGGACAAAAGGTGACAAGGTGATAGACAATCCCTTCATCGTTTTAGTATCTGTGGAGTATGTAGCGCATTGCAGTAATCCCGATCAAATGGTTGGCACTGCATTATCAGCCATAAATTCGCGCAATCTTTCTATCTTTGATGGATTACGGTTTTTTTCGTCAAAACTCTTTATTGAAGTGGAAGTAGGTGAAAGTACCGCTTTTTCTGAATGACGCTTTTATATCTACAGCGAATGGGCCAAAAACGAAAACAAATGAATGAGTTGCATGTGCAGTCGAACTACGAACTTCTTGACCCGATCACTTGGGCTGGCCATTCCACTTCGACACGCAACCACACTCCATCGCAGTTTCTTTTGTGCATTTCTCTCATCCTGGTGTCATAGATGTCTATTCCACCTTTCTGATGCTTCGTTCACCAAAGTTCATTGTTTAGTTATCGTCCACCCAGCATATATAGCAACTCATCTGCGTCAGCAAGATCCTTGTGGGTTTTTCTTTTAGTTCGATTCCATAGTATAGCAGTGTTTTTGTTTTATTGCATTTTGATGCTTAGATTAAAGGATAAAGTTCAAAGGATAAAGTTTTGGGCGTTAATCAATCCCGTCTGAGGGATGCGCCCCCGCACTCGACTTTGCCAAGATGCTTGTATTACATTTAAAAATGCAATTAAAATTCGTAGGTAATCAATAGTACAAACAGCTATCTCATTCAGAATGCTCAAACGTCTGTGTGAATCACGTGGAGAATCATGGGACGAGTCGGGTCCGTCCATTTCTGAACATTGCTCACTTTCCACTGAACCATCAGTGCATATCAGACAGGTCGGTGAGGCATCCTGTAGCTTAAAAGCTTGTACTAATTCCAATTCTCTACAGGCGTACTGGGATGATTATCAGTCACCTGCGTCGTCAGTTTTGTCGTTCGACTACGAGGTGCCTCTGCCGAGCCCGGACTATCAGAAGATAGGTCAGGTTTCAAATTTTTCGAATAGCTAGCACAGCACGTAATTTTAAATTCTCTAAGGCGTTGTTATAGTTTTAGAATATTTCCAAACGTTGCAACTTCATCTTTTTTTAGCTCTGTCCGCTCGTCGTTCACGGCGGTTACGCTCGTGTCCATCGGGGATCACAGTACCTCCGTCGCAATCAGTAAGCAATCGCAGTGTTCCAGTGTCGGCTCGTCACCAACCGCGTTGCTGCACGCCAACCTCCGATCCGCTTCTGCTGTCTGCCCCGCTGTCGTTTCGTATCTCTGAGCCGTTCATGCTCTCAAAACTCGCTGTTCAATGCGATTCGCCTCCGCCACCGCACCCGGCTACGATCGACTTTGAGCCAGCGCCGGTGGTGAAGTCGTTCGCTCCGAACAACGATGTGCCAGAGTTGGAACTGTTCTACCCTCAGTGTTGCTTGCATAATGCTTCTATGCACGAGCCCTTCGCTGCTATCCCTCGACTTCAGCTCACTGAATCTCCACCTTCGACGTCGCGACTTTCGTCACGATTTCAATCGACGCTCTTTACGATCTCCGAGCGTCGCCTGTCCCATGTCATAGCTCAAGAAGAAACTCCGAAACCATTGTTGCAGCGTAAAAAGAAAGAGCGGGAGGAAAAAGTCAACAACCCGTTGCACAACGTCGACTGGTTGAATGTGAGCCCTCGTGTGATGCAGCTTGTCAAGGATGATCTGCCGAAACTCTTCGAGCATGTTCGGAGCGACAACTCGTCCCCGGCTTCTATTGTGCTTGTCAGTCCGCGTACTGTGAGTCGCGCTTTCGTCGCTTTCATGGCAGCCACTGAGTGAAATCTGCACCGAGTGATAACCCTCGTTACCGTAATTCAGCCTAAATTTTACTTTTTTTTGCGATAAAGTCCTTACTATATCGCCGGTCGAACAAAAATTCTGGCAGCGCTTTTTTATGATTGCTCGCAGACTTGTAGAGAATTGGTTCGAAAAGGAAACAGAATATCTGCTGTATCCTACGATGCCAGCTTTGGTGTCCTAAGTTTGTCCTTTTTCTAACCCAAACTTGCACCAGGATGTCGCTATGGAAAGTGAACATTCCAAGATTTCCTGCCATATCCCCGCCACCTCCTCCCCTTTGGCAAACATTCGCCTCGATGGTTCAGACTTCACTCATTGGTTTCCTTTTGTTTTGCTTTTATGCATATTATGTTGCTTCTAACAGTTTCTATTTTGTATTTTCAAAGCCCAGTTCGAATGACATTCAGGGTTTAATAGCAAGGGAATTTGAAAGTAGTGTTGAACATCAAAACAGGAGGATAGGATAGCTTTCAACCGCAGATGAATAGCATCGTTATAAAATTCGGCTCAATGTTCAGAAAAATAAGCCGAGATTCGGACCTCAAATCAGCCTGAACTCGGAGGGGAAGTTTGATTGTTTCCATACTGAGACAGTTTGGTGGAATGGGCTGAGAATAAAGGATAAAAAATTGACTCTTGATAATCAATCTCGCCCGAGGGATGCGCTCCGCATTCGACTCCCATTCGGGATTGTAGTGGCTTAATGATTGCGTTTGTGGCCTATGCAATGTCTTGTGGTGACCAGCCTATGTAAAGTCAATGCTTATCCTCCCAAACAAGTCTTCGCAACGGTTCTGAGTGGGGTGGACATGGTAAAGGAACTTGTCGGTTTTAGGCGGTCGGGCTTCAACCAATGACAAAAGATTACAGTTAAATCACAATGCATAAAAAAGAATCGCAACCCAGACCAGTCTTGAATTGCAACCTACTTTCGCGAATGAACTGAAGCCCTTTTCTATTATACTACTTTTTTTTCACTAACAAGCATTAAATGGTCCACTGTGGAGTGCTTACTTCTGTCAATTCTATAAAAAATGATAAACACCTCTCAGAGGTCTGTAATTCCTAATTATCAATGCCATCAAACTCATTGTTAGTAAAAGTTTTGTCACTCAAACAAGACGAGTAAAAATTAAACTTAACCGGAAGAGATTATTTTGGAAAAATCCCGTCCTACAATGGCCCCCGTTTCTTATGGGTTTCCATTGCTATGCGAAAGGGAATTTGCGTTGTCATGAGTATATGCACCGATCCTCGTCTTGACCGCCTTTCTTAAGTCGCCTTGCAGAGTTATAGATGCTGACCTGTGCGAATGGGGGCTGAAGCTGTGGTCCTCGCTTCACCGGCCTGTAGTGCAGATTTTACTTCAATTCAGGAAACAACAGATAAGAATCATATCCGTATTGGCTCCAGCTTGCGCGTCTTTTCCCTGAAAGAAACTTTGCAATGAAATCATTTGCGAAGTTGAAGTACCCGATCGCTTCTTTAGCCACTCCTTGCGAAGTGGGCAAATGCTTGAAAACGGACAGATGGATAAAGTTGTGCAATCCGTGCTTCAAGCTAAATAGGACTCATGAGTTTATCAGCTGAGGGTCGGAAGGCGTTCGTGCAGATTGGCTACACTCGGTTACATGAAGACTGCGGTATCTGGCGTTAATAAGTGATCAAGCTTTCGGCTCCTAGTCCAGATTCCTTCCTAGGAGAATCCTTCTCGATTCCACCCTGAATTTCGGAAAGGTTTACCATTCGGTTGAATGATTTAGCAACTAGCACTGAAGGGAATCCAGATTTAAGAATGGAGTGGACTTACTTTACTATTATGTATTCTCTACAGTCTCTGAAACATATCCCGATGAATGTTCTTTGAACATATTTGCCCTTTATGAATTAACTTGCCCGGATTTGAGCTTGAATTTTGGCTTCCCTCGATTAGATCCTCTGGGGTGAACTCAGTTGAAAATATATTTCCGGAGAAGTTCAATTCACCAAATAGGATTGTCGAAGCTAGCTCACTCCATAGACGTAGGCTCCTTAACGACCATTTGCTTATTTTGCTGGAAAATGGTCCAGGGGAAAACTTAGCCATTATCACATTCGTTTGGTATAAATATCTTATGCTGAGCACCCGAGATACGGGCCGTTGCGGTTTAGACATTGAGGACATTCGAGCTTGACGGATGCGATATTCGCGTTCAGCAGGTCCAGCTTCAATCTACTGGGAGAAGCTAGGCTTACCAAGCCTTCCGTTACTCGGGGGATCGATTAGTTGGCGGGTGACTTGTACAACGGCTGGTCACTGCAATTCATAGTACATACAGGCCAGATACGCTTCCAATAGGCCACTACAATTCTGGATGGAAGTTGAATGCGGGCCTCATGGTGAAAGAGGATTGTTGATACAAAAAGTTTGTCCTTTATTCTTTTATCAAAACAGGATGAAGACACTAAACATGGAACATTTACTCCGTGAAATTGGCAGTAGTTAGTCCGATTATAGTGGGAGGATTTGTTGCTTCGCACTAGCTTTGTCCAGTGATCGAATTTTTCACAGGCCCCGATGCTTCCGTCCTTGAGGTTACTGTAACTGGTTACTATAATTGCAGCTTATGAATCAGTGGCAAGGAGCTTTACGGTAAACGTTCAGAATCATTTCAAATTCCTTCATGTGTTTTTATTCAGGACTGTGATAGCTCTAAATGAAAGCATACTGTAGGGTCTTCGGTTCCGCGATCACATCAAAGTATATGGAATCGCATTTTCCCTAAAGCTAAGTAATTATTTATAAATGGGTTACATCAAGCACTATAAAGAATAGTGCTGCATAGAGCTATCAGAAGAATGCAAATCCATTTGTGTTGGAGCCCCACCTGCAACCCTTTTTTTTTACTTTGCTTACATGATGAAATGCTTTGCTAATGCTTTCCTGATGTATTCCAACTTTTTCCCTCTTCTGAAATTTCCCTTTCCAATGCTCTTATATGTTGGCTCCCTGCTATGAAAAGTACGTCTTTCCGCATGAAAATTTTCCCTTGATTGAAAAAGTTGCATGATCTAGACTACTAGTTCCAGCCTTAAGTGTGTATTGAGCTATTTCTGAGCCCTTACTGATTCAAAGAAGTTAACTTTCAGCCTGTTGGTGTGGCATGCATGGAGGACTGGGATTCCTACATACGAATGTTGGAAAGCTACAATAAACCCTACGAGCGGTAAGTTCCTACTTTGACTCCTACCACTTCTAGACGTCTATCGTGTTTTCGTTGCTCCTCCAACCTTTCTTTAATTTGAATTATCGTAGAAAATAGTCTAAATTCTTCGTAAATTTTGTTATGAAGGAAATCCGTAATTTCTGAATCATCACCATTACTTCCCATTCATTTCCGTACGGTCTGCTAAATACCATTCAGTAGAATACAATATAATTTATCCAATATTATTCAAGCTAGCTCATCGCCAACGCAAGGAAAATTGTTCCTGAAATCACTGTTAGGACGGGATTTCTTCGGACCGGAACAATCTCAGATGCTGATTTCGAAATATTGTTTGCTAGTATGGAAATTATGTTCCAAAATGTGGGTAAGCAGCCAGCATGGTCGGCAATCCGTGGGCCCTCCGATATTTCTTAGTGTAAGCCTTAACCCCCTAGAGAGATAGGGGTTTGAAAAAAGCTGTAAAGTTGTTTAGAGCTATGGATATGGATGAGGCCAGCAGGTCTCATTTTTCCTGTTCCTGTAAATTTTCCGGCAGCAGTAGAAGTGAAGTGATTCAGAAATTACAGGTTGAACCTCATACTATATGTTCACTGGTAGTTTCTAGTAGTGTTCACTTTGCATTCAGTTTTTTATTCACCGTAGAAAATCGATTATTTTGGCATGTTCAGTAGTTTTTCCAAATTAATTTCGACACCTTTTCACATTTTTTTTACCTGCACGCTTATTAATCAGTTTGAAGCGTGGTCCACGAGCCGCTACCGACTCAAGTGATGACGGCGTCTTCGCAAGACGATACTATTCCGACGAAGCACTTCGCAACACCAGCAAGGCTAAAGCTCACGCCAACGCCTGTCACCGTCTCACCACCTCCGACGACTCCACCTCCTTTGAAGACTCCTCCTACAGCTAAATTTCCATCCATCGTGAGGACTCTAGCATCTCTATCGCCATCTTTGAGCTCATTGTCTCTGTCAATGTCACCAAATCCACCGTCGCCACCTCCAGTTTCTCCTACTCCTCCACCGAAGGATCCAACACCGCCTCCACGACATTCGTCACCTCCCGTAGACCCAGTGAGACAAACTCCTACTCCACCGCGGCTTCCAACACCAGAGACGCCACCAGCTGATCCACAGCTTTCTACATACGTCATGCCATCGACGTTCCGAGTATCGACTCCACCTAGAGAGCCTAGTCCACCACGAATTCATGTACCCATGAAGATGCCCACACCACCCGTGACTGCGACACCAGTATTCGTAGAAGTCCTGACGGAGTTTGAAGTCGTACCCGAGGAGCACGAGAACTTGATCGAACATGAAGAACCAGAGGAGACGACGAGGTTGAATCATTTTCATTTCTTATTTTTTCTTCTGCATCGGACAATTGGCATGAGCATTCTATCTCTGAGGGTCAATAGCATTGTTCATACAAATCAGCAGCCGCTATACTCGAAAGCCATTCGCAGAAGACGAAATCTGATTGAAAATGTTGTCTTCGGGACTTATCGGCTCGATACTTGTAGAACGTACTGTGTAGAGCGAGGTAGACCAGTGATATTGGCCTGAAAAAGTCAACCCAGTCAGCCCTAGGTTTTCAATTCCGGTAAGAAATCACCATGACTGGACTGACTTTGTAGAGATCAGTGCGAGTGGCCGGTGCTTACGTGACTACGATGGTGGTTGTGGTATATGCTAACATCACAGAGTGCCTTTTTTGGCCTCATTGCTAACTTCATGTTAACTGCTATCACAAAATGGTAACGTGGTGATTGTGATGGTGGTGGTCGCGACTCTGCACTTGTCCGTTCAGTGTCAGTGCGCGCTATTTTGTTTTTTCTATCTTCGCCTCTTCTTTCTTTTCGTTTCGAGTTCGTTGATTGCTTATTTTAGTTCGCTCGTCTATTTGTTGTTTGATGATCGTTGGTCTTTTCGCACTGTGAGGTTGTCCCCTCTTTGTGGGCTCTTCAAACTATGCCGTGATATGTATTAACATTGTCATTTTCACAACTAACCCATCAGCCAATGTTGCATATGAAATTCGCTGCTGTTCATCAGAAACTAGCTCAAACTTATGGGCTTCTGAATATCACTTTTTATGAAACTCCAGAATCTCCCAGTTCCCCCGGTTAATGTCAAAAGTTCATCGACAGAGCAGTCCTGTGTAATGTCGTCTGTGTAAATCAGCCTAAACAGGAGATCTCAAAACTTGTATTGGATTTCAAAGTGTTTCAGAGGAGTAAAACGCTTTTGGGTCAAACTAGGTAAAAAGGGGCTTTTCGATGGACTGTCGTCTCGATAGTATGCACTAATCGAAGAACAGCATAGTGCCAGATCGTCCCTAGTAAGCAAATCAAGCTAAAAAGAGCTTCGATGAAATGAGTAATTCCGAACAACTTGTGATATTACGTATGTGAAGAATGTTTCTAGAGCCGTCAACAATGGCATTGGACGAAGAATCCCAATAATCTTGGATTGACTTCTAGATAAAAAACGTGAGAATGAATAAAAAACGTGAGAATGAATGAACCTGGACTTGAGATTTTCCTTGACAAGTATATGCGTTGTTGACGATATATCTCAAAAATCGAGTATCCAGAGCGGATCAATTTATCGAGTCCCTAATATTCGTTTTGGGCCCGCAGGCATAAGATCCGTATGAAACTATATCGTTCGAGAGTGTATGTGAGTGTGAGCTTTTGAAAGTTTTTCATGAAACCAGATATACGGCATATAATATAGCGAAATATACGCGGCTCGTATATACTGAGCGGAAACAATATAATGGTGGAAAAAGATCGAGAACATATCTCGGACGCCGCCACTCGTTGACAGGCAGAAACCTGGACTGCGGACCCCTGTCTGGACATTGTAAACATCGATATCCTCCATGACCATTGATCATAGATCACATGGTCATATCATCTATTCGTCTCGTGAGGACGTTGCGAAATACGTCCTCACGATATATTGTATTGTCAACAATATCTCTGTGATGAAATCTCTCTTCCTTACCGTCGAAAAGCTGCACTTCCGCAGCGTTCAAAAGTTTATCAAGGCATTTACCTCTCCCAAACTAACAACCCTTTTACGCCAAGAGTCTCCTAGCATGAACATCAGCGAATTTTCATTTGCAACTCGCGCTTTATCAGCTGGTATAACGTTTGTAACAACTACTTGCTATTTTTAGCCCTCCACAAACGGATAGTTCATCCGAAGAGGAGAATGCCAACGGAATGGATCTCGACCTCGGTGCTTTCGAACTCGTCGATTCCGGTATGACCGCTGAGACATTGCTCTCTACTGAAGAACCGGTCATATATCACCGAGTACGAACAGTTTTATTCGTTTCCTTGTCTTTTGCTAATTGAAAATTTACTTGTTCAGGATCTCCCAGTTCATTCTGTCCACCACGACACCGTGCAAACAGAGGCTGCACTGGCGAACCTCATGTCGGCACCATCCAGTATGCTGACGGCCGCAATTCCTCCAACAATGGTCGAGGTAAATACAAAATCAATCATCTTAAGAGTTCACTAAATCATTTTCATTTCTAAGTATCCGTATTCAGAATTGCAGTCACAAACTATCGTAGTTGCCCAGGCTAAGTTCCCGAAATGATGTACTTTTCGTAAGTGGAATGGTGAATTGTCACTGAAGTGGAATGGGTGTGAAGGAAAGTGGTAAAATAACGTTTAAATGAGGGCGGCCCAGTTGACTTTGCACGAACTCGCAACATACAAACATCGGTCTTTTTTGTCCCAGATATTCCCTCTTCTTTCTGCTAGAGTGCGTGCCTTCCAGAAAAATCCTTTTTAAGTCCAGACGAACTAGAAATATTGTATCAGACTCTCCTCACACTTGTTCGCTTTACTCGACTGAGCAGCGCAATCGAGTAAGTACTAACTTCTAGACTGCCCATTGGTAGGTCTAGTTAGCGCTCAGAAACAGTCAGACCTTGTCCATAATCCAGTTAAGAAATTCAGAACTGAACGAAGCTCCATAGTTGCAATAATAACAGAACCCTGTCGTGAGGCTGGGGATAGTCGTTGGGTGCTGCGTCGTCTCAACAGTTGCAGTAACCTTACCAGTCGCAGTTGTGGTTGCAGAAAGTCTCGCATCCCCGCGGTTACCCTAGTGACGGGACTTAATGCATTACATTTGATGTCTGGATAGTTGTAGACCTAGAGCTTCCTATGAAAGGACCTGTCCTCGCTGACAATACTCCTTTACGTGCGAATACACAGGGTACAGAATTGAGAGCGTGTGTTCCGCTGGATCCCTCAGTCCTCAATTTCAGGACAACTACTGCTTCGTCGTGGACGGTGAGCGGGTGCGAATGGGTGATATCCTCGGAGATGATCAGTGGTGGAGGCATACGTCACGACCGACAAAATACTTCTATTCAGAAGATTTGAGGCAGTTCCATCGTGTGAATTGTATAGCTGTCAAAGGCAAGGTGATTGCCGCCAAACTGGCCACTTCCGCACTACAAGTGAGTTAGCTCTCTATCTTCTTTGTATTCACTGACGCTGACTTTTTGAGGTGCAGACGACGGCCACGGGGGTCGCCTCGTCGGCGTCAACGCCACGGTCGTCCGTGAGCGGCGCATCGGCGCGTTCACACGGGCGCGACAATAAGGTACCGTTGGCGCACGTCTACAAAGTGATCCGTTTCTATTCGTTCTGGAAGACGTGCACGTCCTTCCATCGCATCGTCACGATGATCGATAGAGTCACCGACGATCGTAATGTGAACCCGGACTTCAAAAAACGTCTCTTCGTACAGTACCTCTGGCGAAATGCCAAAGCCGTCGAGAAGGCACGTGTGCAGAAGGAATTCGATCCGCGACGGCAACGCTTACTACGATTTGTTACCGATCCGGCAGCTCGAAAGAGGTTTCAAAAGCTGTGACTCCCAGCTGTCTGTATCTGTATTTCTCTGTGCGTGAGCGTGCCTTCTGTGTCATTATCTTCTTTTTCTCCGTGGCGCTTTTATTTGAGACGTACAAACATCCAAGACAATATCCGTAGAATTGCAAAAGCAGTACCTAAAGCAAAGGCCTCGCCTCGTTAGCTGTTGGGGTTATTGTTTGTACAGCAGGCACTGACCAAACGAGGTTAGGCCCTTTTTGATACCGTGGAACTACGCTGAAATATCATTTTTTTATGGAAATCGTTGAATGCATGACGTACGTCGGAGAGGCTAGCGCATGTGACCAGTACTTGCTCCCTGCTCTTGTTTGTATGTATGTCTGTTTCGTAACGTGCTCTCCTCTCGCTTGTACCGCCACCACATCATCTTTGTCCCTATCGCAACGGGTTTCATAGGTCCGTCATTGTCGCGGACTCTTATTACACTCAGGTATTTGACATGACGCTCTGTATTCGGTACTTTTATGGTGGCTGATAATATTTATTAGGCGTTGTTTGTTTTTTTTAACTTCGAACCGCTTGGGAAGGGTATGAAGGATGACAGGGAAAACCGTAGTCCACATGAACAGAAAACGAAGTCGAATTTCATATTTTCTCGGCAATAATAAGGACTTGTTCAACACCTTCATCAGTGACTTAGTAAACTTCTCACGGCTCGGTAATCTGCAAATCTTTCAGAGGAGATCGGAAAGAGTTAACCGAACCCAAAATCCCTCAGTTCCCATATACAGTTGCGCTCAAAAGTCTTCGGTGGAATGCTTTGACGCTTTTCCGTACATAACTTTTATCTTTGTGGACCAAACCGCGTGAAATTTGGATATGTTTAACTAGAGCATATTTTACCCAACCCAACACTATTTGAGTGCAAAGCTACAATATCCACAGATAGAGCAAAGTGTTTGTTGCGGTAGCAGATTTTGCTAAAACTAAAGTTGTTGACGTCTGCACTTATTCGCACCTTATGTGCGTTTTTCTCATCTATTGTGTTCGACGTTACCGCTCGTACACTTTAGACATGACAAAAGGGGAAGAGATCCTAGAAGGACCATCATCTGTATTTTCAGTTGATTTTGAGTTCTTGCTATTTGAAATATCTGGAACATGATCAGATTGCAGGTTTGTAGTGGCAAATATTCACAATACACCCACGCTTCAAATATGGAAATTTCGCATGACTAGATCCAGTAGGAAAGGAGTTACGACTGAAAAGTACGGCTGAAGAACCATTTCACCGAAGACTTCTGAGCGCTACTGTAGCTGAAAGGAATATTACAGTGGGGACAATATGTAAATTTGTCAACTCCCATAGGATCTTCACTTCCCCGTCTTGTAACTTTCATGAAGAAGCGCTACCTCAGAACATTCATCTATGTAAAACAATTTATCCTAAGTGCTCGGCACACAAGCTTGTTAAACTAGTTGTTTATTTCAGTCTAAATTGGAAAAGATAAGAAGATAGTGTGGAGGTTGTTTTTACAAGTCTAGGCCGTCTATGCCTTCGGACGTTTTCATCTCTGAAAGAGGAAGAGGAAGGGGTATGCTTTTTATCCGGCCATAAGCTCTAGTTCGAAGCTTCATAAAGCTCAGATGGGCAAAATCGGGTGGTGAGGGCAGGGGGATGATAAGGGAAAAACGCACGATGATGTTACTCGGAAGCAGACGATATGAAGGGGTTGGTGAAGGACGTTCCAGAAGTTGAATACTCTTTCCCGCAAGCCCAAGCCACCCACCATGGTTCTGAATGGTTGAGTGACCATCATTATTGCAACGTTCCGATCACCCAGGGGTCTAATCACTACCTTTGGTTTCTCCTGGAATTTTCGACCCAAATGTCACCGCGCGACTACCCACTTCATGAATGAACAAGCGTTTCGCAAGTCATTTTTCATTCACAGGATAGACTTATGAATGTGCATGCCAATCCGATTGTGTTCATCCGCAGTGTCCTTTCGTTGTCACATTCAGCATCTACACTCCTTCCGTCTGCACTTCTTCTTTCTTCCACTACTACTTGTATGTTTTGTACTTATTCAACGTTGCAACAAGATACTACCAGATACCATGCAAATATGTGATTGCGCATTTTCACTCGTGAAGACATCTTCTTTATGCTATGATAAGTGTTTTGTAAAATCGGAGTTGCGTGATATATAAATGGTGTTGTCAATGTTGCACTTACTTCTTTACCCCATTTTTGCTATTTTCTATCATTTCCTTTCACTGTTTCCCTTCTGACCTAATCCACCTGATATGGAAAGTAACTAATAACAAGTAACTGGAGTATAGGATCTTTCTATTTCTTCTCCTATCTACTATCAAACTTAAAAGAATTTGTGGAGGTTAACATCTTCACGGATGAGCTGTTCATGCATGGCAACCACTACGAGAGATTTACAACTGCTGCTTTGAGGGCCGCATTCGGGAAACCTTTCAGATTCCGCTTAAATATCTCACTTTGTTAATGGTGAGTATACAACCTTGTCTTACCGCTTCGAAAAAATCAGCATAAACAAGCAGAGAAAGTCAATGGATTAGAGACGCTGTGTCTTTCGCGAGCTGGTACGATAACACCGCAGCTCGGAGCCACGAATTTACGTATTTAAGGCAAAGGCCAGAGCTAAGTTTGCTAATTGTTATATTCAATGGACATTTCCGAACGCATGAATGGACAAGTGAGAATTTCAGTGAATCGTCGAATAATATCTAACCTACATTCTGCAAACATTGGGGTTTGTAGTTTGATTCTCGTAAAGAAATCACTGAAAGAATTGATGTTGTTGCTGCAAGTCTTCGAAGTCGACTCGTTACCTTCATTCCTCTCGTGGTCTTAAAGGGCGTATATTTTACTATGTATATTTTACAAGAGCCCCTTGCTGTAGCGTAGAACACTCTCAGGGTCACGCCATATCAGAGAATAATAGCGCGTTAGCTCGGTTAAGGGAGGTATCCTGAGGCAAGCGGGAATGAGTGACAATAACGATGAAAAGTAGTTGATCTAGGGAAAAAATATAGATGCACGAGATCACAAAAGAAAGTATCTGGAGGTGAGGAAGGAAAGTGGAATGCCTGCTGTTTGATATGATTCTTTCAGCTACGATTCCGCATTGATTAACAAAACGAGTAGGGATCAAAGGAAAGGAAGAGACTGCATTGCGAAATTGATTCCTTGCTCCTTCAGCGGCACGATATCGAAAGACTACCTTTGCTAGACTATTGGAAGCATTTTTTTGAGCTTCTCTGGGATAGCCTGGCTGGCTACCCGAAGTCAATTCAGCTCCAACGTCTGACACTGGCACGCTACTAGCGGATATAATATGCCAAAAACAGTGAATGTGCCTCATTCCTCCGAGCCTGAGGAAACCTCTAACACGGCGGAGTTTGATAGGACTGCTCGAGAGAAGCTTCTAGAATCTCGAGGCCGATACAGGCTGCTCAAGAGGAGAAGGCTAAGATAACAATGTGCACTTGCAGCGCACGTACGCTTGCATCGTAAGCGTGTACCGAAGAACTCGTGACGCAAGCCATTAAGGTTAAAGGCGCAGTTCACGATAATTTTGGGTCATCCAGATTGTGACGAAAAATGAAAATAAGGTGGAAAATAGTGAGATTAAGGCGAAGAAAGTGCGCGATCCGGGGCTCTCAAGAGAGCAAAAATATAGAAAAAGGGGCTGGACGAGAAGAAGACCAGAAAAGTGAAGGAGAAGAGTGTTTGGGCGAGCGATACAATGTGTGTCGTTACGTACGTGTGGGTCTTTGTGCGGATAGCTGACTACAGTGGGCAGCAATGCTTTTCAAAATTCGTCCACTCATCGGCATAAGTTACAAAAAAGCCAGTGACAGCGAAAATAGCCCACTTTTTTGGCCTCTTTTGGTAGAAAATTAAATAAGGGATCGCAGCAGCAAAAAATATAACAGAATATAAAGGAACATGAGAAAAACAACGCTCCGTTATTCGACGATCAGTTGATTGTGTGTGGGTCCTAGAGCGAATATTGCAGCCTGAATCGCCTCGACATCGTCTGACCCGGCATCGATCGAGGGGCGAGAGGTCCGGTCGATCCGGTCGGCTTCCACAATGCCATAGCTGTTAAGTTTTGTAACTCGACGGTGTCCTTCCTGTTATCCTTGGGGTTTCGTAGAGGTAAGACTCAGAAACCATTTGTTATCGTGAACTGTGCCTTTGAGAACTACTTTAACAAACCGACCAGAACGAGGAGGTATCGCTCGCAGCACGCTGATCCAGCCGTTTGCGTAGAGAACATCCGGCTCAAATCCAGCTCCAACATACTTCGCCTAGCAGGCACCAACACCTGACTACGAAGAAGAGAAACTGGAAACCTTCCATATGGACTGGGAAAGGTCCATCAGAGAGGATCACACTCTTCAAGGCCGTCGTCGGTGATCTTAACGCCAAGCTTGCCCCAGAAGAAAAGCTGAAAAGCCACATATCGGGACTACGTAAAGAAATGGAATGAGCGGGTGAAAGACTGCCCAAGTTTATCAGGTCGGCCCACACCATCCATAGTGATTCGCATCTTTTAAGCTATCATTCGCAATGGATATGGAAGTCAAGTGGAAAACACTTCCATGATATAGTGCCTTCAATCATAGCTTCTGCCTGTTGTTCCGAAGTTGTGCACGGGTTCGGAAAATCGTCTCGTCCGTGCTAGATTTAGTTTTCACAGCGTGGAGATAGAGCAGCAAGGTTCAGGAAACAAATCTCAAAACCTCATCATCTGGGACCACATCGCTTTCCTTGCAAATTTTTGGGAAAAGATATTGACCTGATGAGGAATGTAACCGTCGATCATCCTCACATAAAGCTAGGAAAGGAGAGGGTCTGCAAGTAACCGAGGAATGTTTCTCTTCGAAGGCTTTCGAGCTAACTCACCAGCGTGGAATTGAGCTTCAAGAAATCGTCAACAAACGTTCAAACTTACCATGGGAGAAAAAGATAAAGGAGAATCTGATAGGGTCGAACCAGAACATTTGAAGAAATTTCTGCCAGCTGTTGTCAAAACCCTGGCTAGGCTCCAAACGCGTCACCTGTGCCGTCGTGGTAAATTAGCAAGGCTGTGTTGATTTATAGGAAGGGAGATCCAGACGATATGGGCAACAATCTGCCCGTTGTAACTTACAGACTTTCTGCACAATTCACCCTTAACCGGCCTATTAG